AGATCCCCTTCTGCATCTCCCATTACAGACCCTGAAAAGGCCACATGTTTGCATTCCAGCCTCCCTTGCAGCTAGGTCTGGGCTCATAAGCTAGGTTCTGCCAGTGAGAAGCATCTGTCCCAGGACTCAGAGACGACAGGCGGCAGGGACTGTGTGGGTTCATTCTCTGAGGGTGGCAGCTGCAGGGGCAGCTCATCCAGTGTCCAAAGCAGGATGGGGTTCAGTGGTGTTGTGGTGTCAGCAGTTCACGCAGTGGAGTCCACAGGGACCAGTTCCGAGATCTGATCTTGACATTGATACTGGCCATACGACTTTAGAGCACCACTTACCACCCTTCCCCTTCCTGCCTGGGGTATTCCGTGTGTGTGTGTGTGCGCGCACGCGCGCGTAGCAGGAAGAGGGCAGGGGAGAGACCTTTCCCCCCTTTATTCACAATTGTCTGCTTGGCATTAAATGATGGGATGGAAGTTAAAGCCTCTGAGGCATGAGGCTTATTTTCAGAAAATGTTCAATTGGAACCTCAGGCTTGGCACTGGGTGGTAAATGAGCAGTTCTGAAAGACAACAGGAACGATGGACCCATTTCTCAAAGTGCAAGTGAGACGTGGATGGAGTTCCAGGTGGGGTAGAGTGTTTCAGCCTAGGCCAGAAACCCATCAAGCTCTGAGGGGTTTTCTTTGGGGCTCCAGGGCAGGACAGATGACCGAATGGTTCCCTTGGTCAGTGTGAGGAAGCATGGTTGCAGCTGCTGCTGGGCCCAATTTGATTCATATCGTCATCAATGGAGGAACAGAGATGCCAAAAATGTGAGGTTGCCCAGGAGCCACCTGGCTGAGGGGTGGGATGCATAACTCTGGAAATGCATTGGGGTGGGTACTGCTGATGGGGGCTGAAAGAGGGTATTCCCTTGCTCCTGCCCCATCCCACTACCCCACCCTCTCAGGAAGGAGAAGTGTTGTTCCCTCAGGCTGGAGGGGGCCAGGGTAACGCTGAACACTACTAAAGAAAATTATGCATAACACCTGTGCTGAGACCACCGACCAGCAGAGGCTGACGTCCAGACCAAGGTTGGGGATCTCTCCTTAGCCCCAGTGTGCTGCCCTCTTGGTCTGTCTTGCTTGTGGGGCTCTAGGGGAGAGTGAGGTCTCTGAGAGTTCAGGCAGGCAGAGGAGGGGTGGGGAAGTTCAGAACTTGGACCTCTGGTTACAATTATGATCAAATATATGAATTCGCTGCTATGGACTGGATTGTGTCCTCCCCCAAATTCCTATGTTGAAGCTCTAACCCCCAGTGTGATGGTATGAGGAGATGGGACCTTTGGAAGATATTTAGGTTTAGATGAGGTCATGAGGGGCCCCCATGATGGGATTAGTGCCCTTATAAAAAGAAGAGACATCAGGGCTCGCTCTATCACGTGAGGACACCGCAAGAAGGCGGCTGTTTGCAAGCCAGGAAGAAGAGAACTCTCACCAGGAACCGAATCTGTGGGCACCTTGATCTTGGACTTCCTGGGATGCAGAATTGTGAGAAATAAATGTCTGCTGTTTAAGCCACCCAGTTGATGGTATTTTGTTACTGCAGCCTGAGGAGACTATGACAATTGCATATTCACCCCAGATGGGCTATTTTAATAACTGGATTTGATTACAGAAGTCAATTGAATGGACTAACATTCAAACAAGAGTGGCACAGAAGACATCTACTGTGGCTGTTTGCAGTGCTCAGGACCCAGAAATGCCTACACCATTTTTAAGAGTAAACTTTCACGTTCAGATATAGCTGTGTGAGACTCCTCTGACTGGTTTACATGTGTCCCTAATGTCAGACCTCAGACTCAGAGAACAACCTCTTCATCTTCCCCGCACCTAGTTCTCCTTGTTTGCAGCTCCCACACCCACCCAGTTGCCCAACCTTGAAACTGGCCCCATCCTTGGCTCCTCCCTTGGTACACCCACCAGTTATCAAGCCATACCCCTTCCTCTTAAATATGTCTGGACTACGACCACCTACCTTGTCTTCACTGCCACCATTCCTCCCCGGACCTCTGCCGCTGCGTCCCAACAAGTCTTCTTTTCTGGCTCTTCCTCTGTTTCGGACAATGATGTTGGAAGCCCTGGGGTAGCCTAAGGAGAAATTCTGGTGGCTTCCTCAACCACGAGAGGAATCTAGAGGCATAAGGATTAACTAGCAAAGGATACAAGGGTGGCCATAGAAGAAGAATGACCTGTATTCTTTTTTTTTTTTTGCTGTACGCGGGCCTCTCACTGCTGTGGCCTCTCCCGTTGTGGATCACAGGCTCCGGACGCGCAGGCTCAGCAGCCATGGCTCACGGGCCGAGCCGCTCCGCGGCATGTGGGATCCTCCCGGACTGGGGCACGAACCCACGTCCCCTGCATCGGCAGGTGGACTCTCAACCACTGCGCCACCAGGGAAGCCCATCAGTCTATTCTTATTCAAATGATTCGTGTATGTAATGGATGAGCGCTGATGATGTTAGGAGCTGTCAGTGCTGTTCTTCAGGATGGTGGGTCAGTTTTGCTTAAGTGACATAATTGCACTTGTTCTTGTGTGCTGGGTCTTGAGCAGTGTTAACTCCTCATATGTCAGCCCTTCAGTAGATCTGAAGTCAAGGGATCTGTAGGGGAGGCTGCTAATTGTGCCCTAATAATCATTTCCCTTTCTTCAATAACAAAACTCCTGAATTTTGGTTGGGTAGAGTGCCATCCAGAGTAAAGACTGCATTTCTTCACCCCTTTGCAGCTAGATGCACCCCTATGATCAAGTTCTCGTTAACTATGTGTTAATCAAGTAGTCTATGGATCTTTCAGGAATTATCTTTAAAGGGAAGGGGCATTCTTTTTTTTGTCCCTTTTCCTCTTTTCTTCTGGCTGAAACATGGATGTGATGGCTGGAGCTGGATCAGCCATTCTGGACTATGAGGTGAAGGTGTACGTTGAAGATTGGAGGGGTGTAGGTCCCAATGATCATGGAGCCACTGTACCAGCTCTGGACTCCTGTGTTTATGTGAGAAATAAAACTTGTACTTTGCTCCAACCACCTTTACTTTGGCTTTTGGATTCAGAATTTGATAACTGATAATGGGATGCTGCAAGTAACATCTAAAACGTAGCACTGGCTTAGTGGAATTGGTAGGCAGTGGATGTCAAGAATATTGTCTTTTATATAATGGCTAAACATTTGATGAAACTGGATGGACCACATGCTGACAGAGGTCACGGCAATAGAGGAAATGGTGGGAGAGTGATTAAAGTGTGAATGCTGCTCCTTGTTGCTTTTCACAAAGTCATATAAAAGTGAGATGAACTGGGGCTAGAGCCAGACAGCCTGCAGCAGAGATGGAAGGCAATCCTGCTTTACCAAGGGACACACGGTCTCTAGCCTGTAATCAAAATTGATTAAAATCTTGAAGCATAGAAAATGCCAACAGCCTCTGTTCTCCAAACTGCAGCTATTAAGAGCAGTGGCCTTGAAGTGGCAGCCTTAGCAGGAGACAGGCTGGGGCAGCAAGCCATTTTCAAGACTTCTCTGCCGGAAAATGCAAACCAGTAGCTCCAAAAATCAGACTGTGGGTGTTGCCTTCCCACCCAAACTTCTTGGTCAGGTGGCCCCAAAGTCGCTACCTTCAAGTTGAGAAGAAACACAGGCAGAGCACAGAACACCGGTCTAGACCAGATCTCCGGCTGTGGGTACTTGGTGGAATTCTATTGGCAGAGAAATCACAACCCTGGGCACCTCCCAAACTGCCCCAGGAGTAAGCAGGGCTACAAAAGCTCTGTAGCCCCACCTTGGATGTGGCCAGGGAGGTCAGTGGACAAGGAGTCCCTCCCAGAGTGGGACTGGGCTGTCAGGTGACCATCCAAGGGACTCGATGGCCGGCCAGAGGCGTCTTCATTATTCCTGCAGTGGGCTTGGGCAACCCCTTGCAGCAGTGTTTCCTGTTCTCTCCTCTTATGAATGAGTTTTCAGTGGCCGTTTTCCTGTTTCTACTTCACGACTGTTTATGGGCTATGTTGGGAGAAAATAACTTGAGTGAGTTTATAGGTCATTAGACCACAAGAAGCCACCCAGAGCTGACAGAGAGGACCACAGGTCACTCAAATGTGATTCTGGCTTTAGATCCATGCCATACCTGGCTGGGGTTTGAGCTGTCTACCTCAGGGACAACGTGAGACAAGAAAGGTGACACCAAAGGGTTGAGCCATGGCAGCGACCACTAATTGTCCCTCAAACCCATTCTTTCCTTGTTTCTCAGAAACAGAACTCCTGAATTTTTATTTTATTTTTTTAGAGCTCTTTTTTTTTTTTTTTGACCACACCATGCAGCTTGTGGGATCTCAGTTCCCCAACCAGGGATCGAATCCAGGCCCTCGGCAGTGAAAGCGTTGAGTTCTAAGCACTGGACCACCAGGGGATTCCCAGAACTCCTGACTTTTAGTTAGGCACATGGCTTCTTGGAATAAAAACTATCTTTCCCAGGTTCCCTTGTGGTAGGTATGGCCCTGTAAGTTCGGATTGATGAGACGCACACATTCACATGACACGCCCTGAGGGAAGGGTCTTGCTTTTCTCCTCCTCCCTCCTCCATTCTGTCTGCTAGAATGTGAACACGACTGGAGCTGCCATCGCGGACCTCAATGTACAAGCTGCATACTGGGAATGGCCAAGTAACAAGTCAGAAGGAACCCGAGACCCTAGGGATCATGCAGCCACCTGGCAGCCCTGCATGGGAGAGGGTAAAGAAACTTCTACTTTGTGTAAGCTACTGTTGTCATGACAGCTGAATCTATTTCTGATCTAGAACTTGCCACACAAGGTCAAGGCTGTCCATGGTCATCCTTCACCAAGGGAAGGTGGAGATGGCAGAGAGGACTCTCCTCCAAGAGAGTTAACACTTACTTAAAAAAAAAAAAAAAAGCAAACAAAATGAGAAAACATTTCCAGAAATCAAGACATCAGAATAAAAATGTCAACACACAGTAACAGTGTTGCATAGCTTGAATGTTTTTATATTGATCAAATTGTTTTTCAGTAGAGTCACTGAAAGAACAGGTCAGAATGAAAAACACTCCAACTTTACAGACAAAATATTGCTAATCAATTAAGATACTTTTCAAAACTACATGACAACACAAATCCCTTGGTTGCTCTAGAGGGAACGTGAGTTATAGAGATGCCGGACAGCCCGGCCATTGGACTCCCTCCCTGCTTGGCTTCCCAGGCTGAGGTCAGAGTCTTTGCCAAGGTCTGAGGGACCAGCTCTTGGAGACAAGTTCCAGAAGCGTGATACATCTCTCTCCAGTAGCTTACTGGAGGTTTTGGTTTAGGATTAACCTTGACTCTCTGGAATAGACTCCCAGAACGGCAGATGTTGAAAAAGACCAGAGCTCATCCCCTCGAGCCCAAACTCCCCCTTTTACTTAGAAGGAAAGTGAGGGCTGAGGGCGACACATCTTGTCTAAGTCTAACCTAGACCCACATCCTGCCTCTGCCCACCCTTTCCCATTGATGCTGCCTCTTCGTTGCCTCCGGTTCTACGGTAACTTCTACGAGGAACAAGAAACATCAACCAGCAACTTGGCAGCGACAGCATCTATGCTAATCTCAAAGCAAACTGAAGTATAAGTTACTGTGGTAGGAACTAAAGACCAGCCCAAGTTTGTGATCCAACCCTCCCCGCTTCTCCCCCAACCAAACTGAGTTGGATCTCTCGTTCTGGAAAATCAAAACACCTAGTGCAGGTTCTATGGAGTGACACCAGGAGGGATTTCCCATTTTATGTCTGCACATCGACGAGTCTAATTAGATCTTCCGAGAGTGCCAGAACACAGGATGTAAATGTCTTCTCCGTTCATACCCCAATTTCCCAGGCAAAATGTTTTTCCTGATTTTGATGACATTCTTCACTTTGGGCTAAAACGGGCTTCTCAGGTATAATTGCTTAAGTGTGTAAGGTAATGAAGCAGGAATCTTGAACTCCATAAATTAATTGGTAGCATCCGTAGTATCCACTTGCATATTTTACTCCTTTCGATAACTCTCTTGTCTTGTTCTTCCCCAGGATTTCATGGACTTTGTTCCTGGTAACATCTGCTGAGTCTGAACTACTGGCCCGCACAGTGGCAGAAAAAGGCTGGTTGCAACCTTCGGTAAACTTTTTGGAAATTGATGTAAAAGAACGGCAGCACTTCCTCAACCATATGAAAAAATTTGTCTCTTAAAAAAAGAATAAAACATAAATCTCCAAACTCATTTAGACTTCACAAGCCTTTTACACACAGGGTGAGGATGCCTTTTTATCAAATGGCCATGCTTTGCTCAGTATCCTGACGGCATTTAAATTCACTTCAGCTTTCCCTCTCTTTTGGTGCCTGGCTGATCAAATTTTCTGAGTCCAGAAGTACTTGTATGATACTCCTTTGTGCCCTTGGTGCTCTTGAGAAGAAAAGCGATTTTCTCTTACAAAAACCCAGCTGCTTCTACTTCTGTTTCATGGATTTGGGGGCTAGTCACTGATAAGTTAACTTTTCAAAGTAATTCATCCAGAGCAGTGTCAGATTCCAGCTGATGAAAATTTCTATAGCATCATCTTATTCAATCCTCATAGCCGACCCAAAGTCCTCAGTATTATTTATTTCTCCTATTTTACAGATGAGAAGATGGAGGTAAAGCGCATAAGTGGCTAGGCCTAGGGCTAGCTGTTGAGTGGAATCAGAAACCAAATCCCGTACCCCTTAGCCGCAGACTCTGCTGCTACACTCTGCTAGCCTGGCATTACGCTGACAAGGATGGGGCTTCGGTGTCTCCTGTTGCACAGTATGGCTCATGACACGGCACAACACCTTCCTCCACCCTGGCCATTTAACAGTAGAACAACGGTGGGGAAAAGATGTAAAGAATGCGGTAAATTTGCTCGGTCTGGAGACAACCTTTAGAAACCTGGCCCCTACAGTAAAGGTCTTTTACCCAGTTTGTGACCAGGAAACTACTCAACTAGCCCAGTTTGCTAAACATCAAAACGGCCTCATTTCAGTGCACTATAACACGAAACCATCCTTTTTCTATAAATCCCGTTAAGAAATTGGATACTTAGCTGTTTCTTCTGGATACATAAAACCACTATTTCAAAATACCACTTTAGAATGTTTACGTAATTTATTTTCCTTAAATAATAATTTGCTACAATCCTGTCACAAATTTAAAAAAAAATTAACATAGTATTAACAAAGGCAGAATTCTTTAGGACAATCAAAATCATGGTGTACTGAGAATAAATTAACATCAAATTGTGTTTATATTCAGATAGTCTGATCCTCTCCTTTGAAATGAAACGAAGACCATTGTAACTAAGAGTGAATGCACACATTTGTTCTTCTATACAGAGACTCATTCTTTATATAAACTCAACTGTAATTTGAATCAAGTTAGGAATCCCAAGAAACACTCACCCGTGGGAGCACACACAACACACAGACACACACACACCTCCACAGGCAACCCTCTAGAAGCTGGGTTTCCCATGGCTCAACGACTAGACCTTTTCTCAGAAGGGCCAAAGATTCTGAATATTTAAGTGACATCCCATCTCCCCTCAGGAAAATTGTAACGTTTCAAGTGTAATAGCTCGAAGTAGCAGCAATCCATGTCTTAGATTCAGTAGTGGATGGTTCCAGTCCTGGGTGCTGAGGGTACAGCAAGAGGAAAGCAGAGGCAACAGGCACCTGCTCCAAATCGAACACGTGGGACAACACTGGGAGTCCTTGTTCTCAGAGTCTCAACTGAAAACTCCCCCGAAACCTGCACTGCCCGGTTCAGGCGCTGGTGTGAACCCGAGGAGGGTCACTAATGCAGGGAGAAGGCAGGGCATTTGGACACGAGTCTCAGAAACGTGAATATTGGAAGTGGCAGGGAGATGGGACCAAGGAAGGGAGGGCAGAAAAGGCACCGCTTGCCCCTAGGCCTGACACCCCACCCCCTGCCGTTCAGTACATTCATGGGGTTTCTCGTTAGCATCAGGGCAGGTGAACGCTGACTGTTCCAGCTCCGCCCAGACACACGGAAAGCTCAGCCCTTAGTCCTTTACACATATACACACAACTCATCCAAGCAACTCTGAACAGCCACGCCATCTCGTTCCTGGGAGGTCAACAGGGTTGCTGGCGTCCCCTCTCAATTGCCCAAGGATGGTTTACAGGAATATGGAGACGGAGAAGGAGGGAGGCATTAGGACAGGCCCCAAACTGAGATCCCCTTCTGCTTATCTCTCCGGAGGAGATGCGGGCCTAAATGATGCTATGACCGCATGCGTTATCTACACAGTTCCTATGTACACGATACCTTTTTCTTTTAATAGAAATTTAAAGTGCTTGGGTTCAAATATGCTCATTCCTTTCCCACAGCCTACAAATTCCTCTTGCTGTTTCCAGAGAGAAGGAGGACGCCCTTGGGAAAGAGGAATGAACGTCTTCACAGTCATCTTAACTGGGATCCAGCATTTGGACTAAGCCTTCTTCATAAACACGAAGGATCGCTTCACACACAAACTTGTACTGGCTCTGGAAAGGAACAGAAAGCCGTCAAGCTGGCCAGCAGTTCCACAAATGCTGCATCAGACCACAGACACAGTTATTCTTTCACCTCACTCATCAACACCCTGAGCTCCAGCTCCGGCCGAGCCAGGCCCTGGGCTACATCAGGGACCCGGTGTGGAGAAGACACACCTACCTGTGAGCTCACTATGTGATGAGGGCTGGGCAACCGTGGCATGGAAACACGGCAGAGGGAGGCACCGGCAGTCTCAGGGAGTCCGGGAGGGACACAGGTTGCTGCAGGGTGGCCGTTCCAATGTACACACCAGTGTACGTGGAAATGAAAGGGCGGCCCGTTCAGAGGAACACAGCCAGGGCTCACGGTCCTGGCCCAGGACAGCTGTCGGTAGCGGGGCTGGTAGGAGGGTGGCACGGGTGGGCTGGGACCTGGCTGCAGAAGGCCTTGCACTGAGATAAAGAGTCTGGATTTTGTCTTCCAAAGGAAAGCCACTGAAAGCCGCTCTACAGGGTAACGTTCTTTATATTAACAAACACCTAAGAGACTTGTTTGACGGATGTGTCCTGGGTGACAAGAAAGCATTCAGACTGAGCTGCATCAGCTAGGAAAATGTGCCCAGAAGATGCACTTTAAACATTCTTTAACTAGCAATGAGGTCTTCCATACCACAAAACAGGGCAGAGAACCTGATTTTTTTTTTTTTTTCTTAACCAGGTTTCCTGGGTGCACGTGAATTTAAAACATGAGCTCACCATCGTTAGAGAAATCTTATGAGCTTGGTCCATGAGTCTGTGAGGACACAGAGCTCAGGGCCAGTCCCAGTCCCTTCTTTGCTAACTTCTCCTCATCCATCGGGGGGTATGGCCTCGGAGGCCGTTCCTCCAGAAAGCCCTGACTTTCCAAAGGCAGCTTTCGATACTCTCCCCGAGCTCTCAGACTCCCTTTGGACTCCTCCCACTGCTGCCGAGATCTATAGTCAACTGATCCAGTTCTACTAGATATAAGCTCAGGTCTCTCCTGCTTGTGCAATTACCTGTTGAACGGATGAATGAATGAATACGGGATAGTCCTTATTTTGCAGATGGGGAAACTGAGGCTTACAGAGAGGTTAAGGCACTCTTCAGAGGTTGCCCAGTATGTGGGGGAGTGTGAATCGTGAACTTTCCGTGCCACCCCACTGCCCCTGCTGTAGCTCTGGGGGGAAGCCACAATATTTCCTCTTGTGGACACTTGCAGTGCCAGGTACCCAGGCGTGACGTACGTGGGAGAGAGCCCAGAAGAGGAGAGAGTAGGGCCGTGTGAGACATCTGCTGAGTCAAAAGGCTCACCCAGGAGCAGGCGGGTGGGGTGAAACCCTCAGGTGACCTTGCTTACTTCCGATGGACAGACACATGACGGGTCAGTGGCTTGACAATGCAGAGTGCACCGGGGCTGCTCCCTGGCCAAGCGGCTGGCAGGAAACAAACTGTGAGGCAGCAGAAGTGGTGGGTAGCGAGAGGCAGAACTTGGATGGGGTGGGTGTTGGATCTGCTCAGCCCCTGACAAGCTCTGTGACCGTGGGCAAGTGACTCAGTCCCTTGGGGCCTTGGTCTCTCGACCTGCAAAAGTCCTTCGTGCAGGCCTGGCCATCGTTAGTATTTTTATTACTGGATTTCTACTCACTGATGTCTGCACCATCATGGCGCGCTGGTCTCGCATTTTCTGAACAATATCCAGTGGGTAAACGGGCAGGTTCCTCTCGATCAGGCACATGGATGTTTCCATGGTGACCAACACACCGGTTCGACCTATCCCAGCACTGGGGGGAAAGGAGCAGAGACGGGATTTGCTCAGACAGCATTTCTGCACAGCCCAGCTCAGCTCCTCGCCAGTTCCCACGCTTACTCAGAGGGAGCTTTCCTCCTCTGACCTTCAAAGAACACAAAACACACGCTCAAGGTGTGCTCTTGAACAGACCAGGGGCTTAAAAATCAACGGGAAGAAACCCACCCTTCCGTGCAAACTCTACCCCCCATCTTATGCGCATCTGCTGTGAGGTCAGTCAGCTGGGAACAGAGGGAAAGATGAGGGAGGGAGTTTGTTCTCCAGTTCTGCGCTGCAGTCACAAGTTTGTCCGGATCTTTTGAATTGTGAAGAAGGAAAGCAAAGAGAGCTTTGTAAAAAGCATATCTAGTCTTGTGGGATTTAGGTGGGCTTGATGCCTGCCAACTTTCTCCAGGCCTTTCCCAAGGAGTATGAGTATTAAAAAAATAGAGCCAACAAGCCACAGTACCTGCAGTGAACTAGGACGGGTTCCCCTTCCACTCTCAGGGACCTCACATAGTTTACAAATTCCAGAAAGTCTGAGGAGTCATCGGGAACGCCGTGGTCTGGCCATGCCACGTACTGGAGATGCGTCACGGTGTGCTCCTCTCCAGTCTGCGAAGAGACAGAGTGGCCTCGCTGAGTTACCTGGATGGTGGGCAGGTGGACAGGAGGACCCTGGCCCCGCTCCGGCCTCCAGCCAGGGAGCTCCTGTCTCCGGACACTCTTCTAGCCACTGGGTACCACCCTGCCACGGCCACTGCCAACTCCTGCCCACCCGCCTTCCATACGCTCCCAAACACCCACTCTCGAGGGTTCCGATGGGACCAACTCCTGCCCGATGTCTCCTCCACCACTTCTGCCCACAGTGGTCTCTTCCCGTTTGCTCCTATGGTACTTACGATTAGGGCCACCCACGTTGGCTCTTTTTTTTTATGGTCAAAAGACACATAACAAGAAGTTTACCATGTTAAACATTATGTACAATTCCTTCCAGAGCCTTTTCATCTTCCCAAATTGAAACACTGTGCCCATTAAACACTAACTTCATTCCCCAGCCACGCAGCCCTGGTGACCACCGTCCTCCTTTCCGTCTCTGTGAACTGACTACTCCAGGTACCTCACAGTATTTGACCTTTGGGGTCTGGCTCCTTCCACTCAGCATAATGTCTTCGAGGTTCAACCATGCAGTAGCATGTGTCAGACCTTCCTTCTCTGTAAAGGGGGACTAGGATTCCATTATATGAATACACCACATTCTGTTTATCCATTTATCTGTCAGTGGACACTTGGGCTGTTTCCACCTGTCGGCTATTGTGAAATATGCTGCTGTGGACACAGGTGCTGGCTCTTTTCCAGGCCGTCTGTACATCTACTGAAATGCCCACCAGGTGAAAACACAGACTGACCTAGAAGTAGAGCGCTACCCGGGCCCACGGTGGATGCTGATTCAGCACCTGCCTCTAACCCGTGCCCTCCCCTGGACCACTCGCCGCCCGTGCAGTGCTCACCTCGGTGTTCGTGACCAGCATTTCACGGAACACGTAAGCGATGGTGCAGTCCTCCGACTGACAGCGGATGTGAAAGCTGCCGTGTTCCATGACCTCGGGAGGATAGGGCCAGTACTGGTGGCATTTGGTCTGCAAGGGAACCAGCGGGGAGGGGTTAGGCTCGGCTGTGCGGCGGTCCTTGTGGCGGTTACTGGGCAGACGGGTTGGATGTTTGGCCAGAGCCCTCTCACTCGCACCAGGTACTCAGAGCTGCTGGGAGAAGAGAGACGCAGGCGAGGCCACTTTTGTGCTGCGTCTGTTTTCTGAGGGTGGGCGGGGAATTTCCCTTCCTCCCCTGGGCAGCTGGGGAGGGGGGGAGAGGTCAACCCGCCAGGGGCCAGGCCACAGCTCTCACTCCAGCTGGAGCTGGAATTTGAGCGCACAGACTTTCCTCCTTCATCACCAGGGTCCAACTGCTGGAGAAACAGGAGAGCCTCCGACGTGGGGCCTCGACTTATGAGCGACCTCTACCCGACACCCCCGTCCCTCGGCCCCTTCTCTGCTCTCAACACCCCTTTCCACCTCATCCCTCCTTCGGCGTCCACTCCTCACGGCACAGCCGCTAAGAGCACGCCTCTGGGAGCCAGACCGACGTCTGCTACGATCATTTTCTCCTCCACGGTGAGCCCTGTGACCTTGAACCTGCTACTACTTAAGCTCTCTGACTTTCACATTCTTCACCTGAAAGACAGGCCAGCACCTGCTTCCCAGATGGTGACAGAGGCTGGAGAGAATGGTGTGCAGTGCCAGGCTCACTGCAGGGTGGGGGCAGGTCAGCGGTGATGGTGGCCATTACCATAACTGCTGCCGCAGGCCCCACCAGTGCTTTCGTATACGACTCCTACGGAGCTGACGCGTGCCAGACAGCAGAGGGGGAAACCCGGGCTCAGCAGGATTAAGCGGGCTGCCCCAGGTCCAGGGCTGCTGTGGCTCCCCACGGCCTCTCCCGTTTTCTCTTCCCCCTTCCAAATCCTGAAACGTGTTCCCTAGCAGCCTCACTCCTGCCTCTGGCCTCGAAGCAAAGCTCAGGGCCAAGCTGCCTATCCCATCATAGACCCATCAAGTCAAATTCTGACGCATTCAAAACAAATGTTCTCTCCAAGCCTACAGCTGCATCAACTTGGGTAAAAATTACATTTACGTACAGCTGAGAGGGGGTATAAACCAACAGATGCACGTAATTTAAAAGAGCTTTTCTATTCTTATTTTCAAACATCACAGTGAATATGTGAAATTAAAGCATGCTGCTGAAAAGGTGGCGTTAAGAGTTTACTTGTAAACCTTACACCTGGGTATTTTGGTTAGTGGCCACTTCCCAGCTTCTCCAAGACACGAAGGACTGCTGTCCACAGAACCCGAGGCAGAGCCAACACCCAGCAGGCCTGCAACTGCTTCCTTATCTGTGGGAGTGTAGCTGTCTGCTGCAGGCTCCCAAGGGTCCTGCCCACAGGACAGCTGATGGCAAGCTTCGCTCTGAAGTGACGAGCCCGTGCAGGGCTGAGCCACAAATACCTCTATTTCCAGAGACTCCCAGTGAATCTGACCAGAACTGGACTCTCTTTACTCCTTGATCAAATTTAGATTTTAGGTCTATTTGGATCTCTAAGCACTGGGGGTGTAGCGGAAAGAACAAGAAGTTTCTGCACATCCTGAGTTTCCCTCCTGGTTGATAAGTTCCACTAATTTGCAATCCTGGGCAAGGTACTTCGCTTCTCTGAACCTCAGTTTTGGCCGTACTGTGCGGCTGGCAGGATCTTAGTTCCCCGACCAGGGATCGAACCCAGGCCCCCTGCGGTGGAAGCTCGGAGTCCTAACCACTGGACTGCCAGGGGATTCCCTAATGCCTACTATCTTGATCAGTATATGCTAAGCACTAAATGGTGCTTTTTATGGACATTATTTTATCTGGGTCTCCAAACAATCTTATGAAGTAGATACCATCATTGTCTCTGTTTTGCATAAGAGTAAACTGAGGCTCAGAGAGTGAATCCACTTGTGTCAGACCCTACATATAGGAAATGGAGCATATATAGATGTAAAAAATAATTTTCCCCCCAGAAGAAACATCCTTGATGGGAAGGGAAGGAGAAGACCCTTTCAATGGAAAGACTATATACCTCTATACCTCTGTTTCCTCTTGGAGGAAACCCATGGACCTGAAGGGAGAACACAATGGAAAACGTTTTAGGTCGGAATGAAAAGAGGGAGAAATGAAAGCTATTCTGTGGCAGGAGCGCCTCACTGACCACTGGCCCCTGGGCAAGGCTTCCAGCACCTACAGACGTGAGCGCAGCACAGAGCGGCGACGGGGACCCCGCCAGCTATTCGCCTGTGGGGAGGTTCACCCCGCAAAATGCAGAATATGGGAGAAAGCAACCGGGACATGCCAAGAGCTTCATCTCTCGGAAGAAGTAGGGGACAGAGCTGCTGGCCTGGAGTGACTGACTCCTAATCAGGAGGAACTCAGGGGGGTGGTGAGGACCAGATAAGGGACCTCAGGATAAAGGGCTCAGGTCACCTGAGCGTTTGTAACAGGAGAGGGAGGAAACGCGTCGCCTGGATTTGAGAACAGGTTTCCAACCATTGATAAACAACAGAGGTAAGTTCCCAGGGCCAGAGCGTACGAAGGGAATGCTCTGACTCGTGGGAGATGGGAATCTCTAACCCGATGGAACCAGCCGGAAGGGGTTCCATTAGGAAGAAAGGGCTGGGAAACCAACCAACCCACCAGGTTACATGGAGACCTTGGAGGAGCTCAGGTTCAGAGCGGACTCCAATCAGGACAAAACAGGAGGGGCAGGACCTACAAGGGCAGCCGGTGGAAGTGAGGGCCTCCTGGATGGAAGAAAGGGCCTTTTCTCCTGAGCTGGAACAGGCAGAATGAGGGGAAGAAGGGACTGCCATCGGGGCAGGTGTCTGTCACTAACCACGCCTGCTGGCGCTCTCTTTTCTCCAAGGAGAACAATGATCTTGCAGCTGGGAAGGGCCGAGCCAACATTGAAGGGGAAGGAGCAGCCCAACACAGGTGAGGAGAGCTCCTGGCTGCCCCATGGGTTCAGGTGTTGGCTCGCAGGAGTTGCAGCACCACTGAAAGACCTCATGAGCTCTGAGAGTAGCACCTCCATGGGCAGTTTCTGAGAAAACCTGGAGTATCCACGTTCCCCAGAGTCACAGAACAGGCAGGCAAACGTGGCACAGTTTCATATGGGGAGATTCTGCAGACAACAAGGCCGATGTCTTGTCATCTATAACACACCACAATGGCCCAGATCAAGGCCTGCAAAGTGTGGGATTTGGCAGGAGGCTAGGAGGAGATGGGGCTCTGTACTAAACGGCATAGAACCACACGGTGGGAAAGTGGGTTTTTCCATGTATGCCATAGAGAGTTTCTCAGCTGGGGTCTAGGATAGCTTTAACATTATCTCCCTAGCACTTTAACTCTCTTTTTAGGAGACAGCACATGAGTGTGTGGGCAAGCACGCCTTGGGTTCACAGCCTGGAAGGCAAGAATATTTATTTAGACTTTAAAAACATTGTCTTGTGGTTTTTGCATTTTTACACATACCTTCTTTTTATGGCAAGTGATACTGGGCTTCCATTTCAGATATATATTTCAAAGGAAATTTTTTTTTTTTTGTGATACGTGGGCCTCTCCCGTTGCGGAGCACAGGCTCCGGACGCGCAGGCCCAGCGGCCATGGCTCACGGGCCCAGCCGCTCCGCGGCACGTGGGATCTTCCCGGACCGGGGCACAAACCCGTGTCCCCTGCATCGGCAGGCGGACTCTCAACCACTGCGCCACCAGGGAAGCCCCAAAGGAAATTTTTTAAAGCAAAAAAAGGTGAGCCAATTTGAAGAATCATAATAAATAATACTACAGTAATAGTACAGCCCCGGCAACAACTAAGGTGTACTCAAACTACTATTACTGCTAGCTAGCATCTGTATAATATTTACTGTGTGCCAAGCACTGTTCCAAGAAAGCTGCCTGTGTTAACTCATTCAGTTACTCCACAAATCGACGATCGGTGTCATTATTATTCCATTTTACGTAGAGGTTCTGCAGGTTTCCTAAGCCACACAGGTAGGAAGGGACCGAGCAGGGATTCGAATTCAGGAAGCATGGCCCTAGCATCTGCCCTCTTACCCAGGACACCACGGAACAAGATGGGTGCAGGCGCTCCAGAAAAAGAGAGAGGACAGGATAGGACTGTGAGCCAGCTGGAGTTCCCTAAGTTCAAAACAGGTCCCAGTAATTGCACTGCCTTTCCAAAACAAGATCAGAAAATCACACATGCATACAAAACCGGAATAGAAACAAAAATTAAAAATAGGCAAAAACAAGATTTCCAGACAAGGAGATCAGGTGATGCCATAGACCTGCTGCCTGGTGGTTTCAGCAAAGCTTCTGAGAGTTCCCACGGTAACCAGGCAGACAAGATGGAGAGACGGCCAGGGCTGGAAGCAGAGCTGAGAGAACGAGCACCTGCTCCCCGAAGAGTGCCCTCAACGCCTCTGACTCACAGTATTCTAGAAGGAGATTTCTACTGCTTCTTGAGGGCCTTTACATTTTTTAAATGGTGACTTATGTGAAGAGAAGAGATTCTGATCGAGACCGTGAGTGACAAGAAGCTAAGGGTGAGAGCCAACACAGAGAATGACAGATGGAAAGCCCGAGGAGCCCAAGCGCACGCAGAAGGCCAGATCCGACGGCTCATCCTCCCAGGGATGATAATCATGGCCACACAGACACACAGCAGCTAATGTTTGCTGGACACCTGCGACAGGCAGCTCTCTAGGCTTTTCACATATATCGTCTTAGTCTTCACAAACCCTCCAAGGCGGCACTAGTATCTGCAGTTTATATTCAGGGAAGCTGAGGGTCAGAGAGGTTAAATAACTTGCTCGAGAAGAATGTGTTCTGAACCCAGATCATCTGGCTCCAGAGCCCCACCAGCGTGCTGCATGTAGGTTTCCGGAGTCAAATGCTTGAGTACAAAATGGGGAAACTGGCTAACAGCACCACTGAGACAAAGACCAGACAATTTTTGCTGACCGCCACCTTAATGGAAGTCGAGGGTTATTTTCACATATCTGAAAGGGCATTGCATAGAAGAGAAGGGTAACTTATTACTGAGTCTTCCAGGTAAGAGAAGCGGGTGGGGTGGTGGTTCAAAGTGACGTGGATTTCAGCGTGTCGTAAAGAGGGATTTTTAAAAAAATCAGAGCCGAGTACTCATAGATGGACCCTGGAAGTGTTTTAGCCAAGGCGGGGAGCCATCTGCCTGGGACAACCTGTGGTGAAAGCCCTCTGCAATCCACGGGTCTCTCTAGAACTAGTAGGAATACTTATTTTGCTGTTTTGGGTGAGAGGGTAGCCTGATCTCCTCAAACATACTATCCATTCCAATCCTGTATGCTGACTTTCAGCACAGCTCAATTCTGAGCTACTTACCAAAGAGAGGCCTGGGAGGAAGTGGCACAAAGATCATTCAAAATAGGTGGTTCAAAATGGCTTTATATTTGATTTTGGAATGTGTTTCTGGATAAACATTTCATAATGAAGATACCCAGATGCAGGCAAGAGTTAGAGAACTCATGCTGCACAGTATCCCTTGCACACTGACTTCTGTTATATCATCAGCGATCTGTTCCTATGGAAAATGCACGTCAGGCTGAGCACAGCAGGGTGCCCATCACTCTCCTAATGAAGCCCTTCTCACCTCTTTTTTGCATCAGGTTTTGCTGCAACACAAGCAGAGGTTGACAGAGGTCATTTCTTCTACTTTTTATGGCCATTGTGAACCTGGCACTCACACTGCTCTTCTCAGGACCAGCACTTGTCCTGGGTGGGTAAGGCCACAGCTAAAACAGGGGTTCTTGGACAGGTAAGGCAAGGTGAAGAGCCTTCCTGCTTGTTATAATGGATCGGAGGCAGGAATGGAAGGGGCTGTCTGATCACTCCTTAGCTTGGAAAGGCCAGGGAGTGGGCAGGAAAAGTGCTGAGCTTCCAGTCACTGGAGGTATCCATAAGTAGCTCTGTACAGGAGATTTATGGGTCACATAGGGGTTGGACCGGGTGACATTTCATTAAGACCTTTTCCAGCTCTGAAATTCACGTTCTGCAGAGCACAGTGTGACATGCACACTTCTGAATTGGAGATCAAGCCACTTACCCGCCCTCGCTCTGTGAGAGTGGTCAACATGACGATGAGCGACAACTTCTGATCCCAGACTACCTGCCAAAATTGTGCACAGGTATGTGGCAGGGGTCCCTGAGCGGCAATGTACTTGTTCACAAGGTTAGCAGCAGGAATTTCCATCTGGCAAGAGATTGTTAAGGCATTAGAATCCGTTACTGCCACAAGGTGGACAGGGAACTGGATCTTACATTCTTTCACTTAGTGACTGTCATCACACCAGAATAACATCTCTATCAGTTTTTGGCCAATAAGAATAATCAAAGAAAAAGCTACTCTCAGAAATGCTTCAAAGGGACTTCCCTGGCGGTCCAGTGGTTAAGACTCCACGCTACCACTGCAGGGGGCGCAGGTTCGATCCCTGGTCTGGGAACTAAGATCCCACAAGCCATGCGGCCAAAAAAAAAAAAAGCTTCAAATGCTAGTATTTAACAATAATACTAGCATTAGATATTTAAGATAAAACTATATGATAGTCAATAGGTGATAATCAGAAGTGGACCTACGAGATGGAAAAGAGTTTAAATGACCTTCACCGCTGTATCCTAAATATAGTCAATATTGGGTAACTGCATTTTCAGCAACACATGCCAATCCTCATGCTTACATCTTTCCCTATGCAGGGTTTTCTATCAAAATATTTATTTTCTTTGAAGCATAAGCCATACAGGCTTATCCCACCAACTGCTGCTCCACTTTGCTTTCTGCACGGTTGCCAATGTTTGTGCCACTGAGTCGATCAGTCTCCCTCCCAGCCCCAGCTTTACTGAGGTATAACTGACAAATAAAAACTGTATATATTTAAGGTGTACAACATGATGGTTTGATATATGTATACACTGTGAAATGATTCCTAGAGTCGAGTTCATGAACACATCACCTCACAAGGTTACCATCTGAGTTGATTAATGCTAGATGTGAAAATGTTTTCAACTGTCCTCAGTGTCCCTCTCCCACCCTGCTCTCCTTCTGCTTCTAAACTAAGTCTTTTCTATGAAAGAACACTCAGAACTGGCTGAGCTTTGGAGCGGCACTGTGATTCACTCATTCTTAGATGGGAAAGGTAAATGGAGGTGCCCAACTCATGGTTTGGTTGGTGCTTGGGTTAAGGGCTTCCTCAGCCCTGATCTCAGCCAGTCCCCACCCCAGGACTGCATGGTCCTAGCAGCCCCACCATTTCTGATGCTCTGCTTGCAGGACACCAGGAATATTGAAGTGAGGGTCAATGAATCCCACAGATGCTTTTGAATAAGTGGAATCACTGATCAGACCCATTCTTGCTGGTTGTTCTTGATATCATGCTATAACCTGAGAACTTGAAAAGTCATCTGTTCATTTAGATCAGAGGTTGGTAAGCTACGGGCTGAAGGCCAAATTTAACTGCCACTTTGCAAGCCTAAGGTGTTTTTTTGTGTTTTCACATGGTTGCATTTGTGTGTGTGTGTGTGTGTGTGTGTGTGTGTGTGTGTGTGTGTGTGTGGTACGCGGGCCTCTCACTGTTATGTCCTCTCCCGGACCGGGGCAAGAACCCGTGTCCCCCGCATCGGCAGGCGGACTCCCAACCACTGCGCCACCAGGGAAGCCCTCACATGGTTGCATTTTAAACGGCTATATAAGTACCTAATTAATATCCTCAATTTTGTCTCGTGGCTTGCAGAGACCAAAATATTTATTGTCTGGCCCTCTACAGAAGAAGTGTGCTGACCCCTGGTTTAGATAAAGAAACTGAGGTTCAGAGAGGCTAAGTTGCCCAACATGCATTTTCAGAGTGAAATGAATGTTTTCCCCACAACATGTGAAATCTTTTACCTTTTGTTTTTGGGTTATATGCCCAGAGGTGGTCTTATTTTTCTTATTTATAGGCAGGATGTAACGACATGGGGGAAAAACACAGAAAGTTACAAACATACCAATGGCCAAAACAACAGAACACCTAAATGTCTGCAGTTGAGGACAGAAGGCATGTGGATGATGGAGTCAGAGACACAGAATCTGAGTTTTGGTCTCACCTTCCGTTAGCTTTGTGACTTTTCAAATTATTACATGTCTCTGAACCTTAGTTTCATCCTCTGTAAAATGAGACTATTTTGCCTTCCCTCAACGGCTGCTGTGGTGATGAAATGAGGGAGTGAACGGGAAAGCACTTCGCCAACTGCAAAGCACCTCACACACCACTGTCACGCTTGTTGCAGTGATTAATGTGCTTTTTCTCATGATCCAGATTTTTAACTTACGTTCACGTAACTCGCATTAATATAATCTTCGTTTCTCTGCAATAATACCCGGGTGGTGTCATCTGTGGGGAGAGCAAGACATTTACTGATTATTCCTAGTGTTATTTTTATCGCACCGAGTAAACAAGAGTTCAGTTCCCAGCCCCATCTGCAGCTCTCGCCTTATTAGCATAAACACTATTCTCCAACTGTTCAGAGTTTGAAACGGCTGCAGTAAAGACGGTGGTGTTTACAGACACACTGAAAATCGTTCCAGAATACCAGACAATCTGTTTTAAAAAGGGAAACATTATCTCAGTGTGTGTGTGGTAGCGGGGAGGAGGTATTCACGCCGGATACTCACAAGGCAATACATCTTTATATCGGTTTTTGTCCAAATTTTGAGGCAGCTTTGCAAATGTGATGGCCAAACCGGGCTTCTTTCTGTAGAGTTGCTAAATGACAAATAGAGAAGTTAAAAAAAAAGAGAAAAAACATTGCAAAAAACAGCTATGGAGAGAGTGTGAAAATATACTTCATCAGTAAAGTTTACCAGTCACAGCACCAAAATCTTAACATTTAACAGTGATTTCATATATTAAGAGAAAAATCTTCCCAATAAGAAATTCTACAATCCCCTGAGAAACTGACTAAATTCTTCAATATTTTTTTTTTTAACATGATGATCTTTGAGGAAAAGTCATAAGAAGGGGTGTGAGTCACAGATAATGGATCACAGTAAGTAAAACCTCATCTTTATGACAATTATTTGACAAGAGCTAAAAGTACGTAGAGAAAAAGAAAGAATTCTGACTAAAAATTAAATGGAAATCATTTACATTAGTCTAAAAACACTTCCCTCCAATTTAATAGAGTGAACCATACTCTTTGCTAAGAACAAGAGCATTTCATTTCATTCATTTCAGAAGTATACTCCCACAGTAAAAACATTTATTCCAATACATAGTAAATTTCATTTAAACATTCATTTAAAGAGGTATTTCCCTATACATGCAATCATTAGTGAATAATTCAGTTAAAACCATCTTTGCATATCTACAAGCACATGTTAGACACATTCGTACTGTACCTGATGTGATGCTGACAACAGCTCTGTGAGAGGTATTAATAGTATTCTTATTTTTTAAGTGAGAGGCAGAGATTAAATGCTTTGCTCAAGATTAAAACCAGAGGTTGAACCCAGATCTGACGCCAATGCTTGAGTTTTTTTCTTTGAAGTGACATTTTATTGAGGTATGACTGACATGTAAAAAGTGGTATATAGTTAACGTACAACTCGATGAGTTTGGGGATAAGTATACGCCCATAAAACCATCACCACCATAAAGGCGTAAGATACATCCATCCCCTCTCAAAGTTTCTCCTTGCCCTTTTGAGTTTTCTTTTCTATACAACTGTGTCCCCCACTTCAAACTAGAGTGTGAAACACTATTCACCAGTGGATTTTAGTTAACTTTATGGGAATTTAAAAACAACTTTTTTTTTCAGTGTTGGAAGTGATTTTTTTTTTTTTGCAGAAAATTTAAGAAATTCAGACTAATATAAAAAAAAAAGTTACCAGTAATTTCACAACCCTGAGATGACCTGTTTTTTAAAAAATTTTATTTATTTATTTTGACTGCATTGGGTCTTCGTTGCTGCGGGCGGGCTTTCTCTAGTTGCGGCGAGCGGGGGCTACTCTTTGTTGCAGTGAGCGGGCTTCTTATTGCTCTGGCTTCTCTTGTTGCGGAGCATGGGCCCTAGGCGCACGGGCTTCAGTAGTTGCGGCACGTGGGCTCAGCAGTTGTGGTGCATGGGCTTAGTTGTTCCACGGCATGTCAGATCTTTCAAGACCAGGGCTAAAAGCCGTGTCCCCTGCATTGGCAGGCGGATTCTTAACCACTGTGCCACCAGGGAAGTCCTGAGATGACCTTCATCTATCTTCTCCAGCTTTTTTTTTCACACACACATATATACAAACATATGTAATTATATATGTAAACACATAAAATATACAGATATCACTATGTTTTTAAAAACAAAAAATGAGACTGAACATTTATTAGCACTTTCCATATTATGTTCTATAGAACCCAAGTATTCTGAAAGAAGCTACCAGGTATTGCTTAGAAAAAGTTTCAAGGTCAAGGAAATTTGGGAAATGCTACAAGTCACCTTATGTTCTATGAATCTCTAAGACGACAAGTCCTGTAGTGCATAACCTTATTAAATTCTGATTAGCTAAGCATTTCTCAAGCTAATTTGGCCATGGAGGATCTCACGTCTCACAAGACATGTCCTGGGAAATACCACTATAATTTTGAAGGCTGTTTTCCCCACTTATTATATAGTGTCTAGTTCCGTGTCATTTAAATACTTGAAGTATTCTCTATACACATGATTTTTACTGGCTCAATAATCTATAAGGTTTTCATAGTTTAACTTTTATTCTACTTCTTGATTAGACTGTTTTCAATTTTTTGCTACTACAAACTCCCAGGAACAGAATTACTGCATTAAAGCACATTTTTGAGGACTTTGATACACACACACACACACACACACACACACACACACACACACACACACAAAATGGAGTTGCCCTCCAGGGGTGTATGAGAATGGTTAGTCCACCAACTTGCAGCCAGTATCATCAACTAAAATGTGTTTACAATTTGAATAGGGAGGTGGAACCATGTCTTTCCCTGTATATTTTTGCAAATTGTATTTCTTCCTTTATAAACCAGCCTCCGTTGGTCTGTTTTTTCTCTTATTAGTTCTTTTATTAAACAAATTGCACAGAAATCACCAGGAGAGAATTAGCATAGACATTTTTGGTAATGATAATTATGTTATGTCTCATACATTTTCCAAATGTTCAGAATTTCCAATCTTTCCCTAGGCTCAACTATTAATCATCTTTACAATTTCAGTTCATAACAATCAAGTAGCCACTAAGCAACTTCTTAAAGGTCTGGGAGCTTTAATGAACTCTCTGGGCTCCTTCTTAAAATAAATTCATGATTTATTAGAAGTTTTGGTTTGATTCTGGGAGGAGGAGAATATCTGAGTCAAATTCCCCTAAATGAAAATTTGGTTCTAACTGACTAACTGCATAGAAGTGAAATCCAATTGAGTGAATATAACCAGTAAAGCTAACCTGGAGGTAAAAAGTTTTTCTTTTCCAAATAACAACAGCGTAGGGCCTCCCTGGTGCTGCAGTGGTTGAGAATCTGCCTGCCAATGTAGGGGCCACAAGTTCGAGCCCTGGTCTCGGAAGATCCCACATGCCTCAGAGCAACTAGGCCCTCGAGCCACAACAACTGAGCCTGCACTCTAGAGCCCAGGAGCCACAACTACTGAGCCCATGTGCTGCAACTATTGAAGCCCGAACGCCTAGAGCCTGAGCTCCGCAACAAGAGAAGCCACTGCAATGAGAGCCTGCACACCGCAACAAAGACCCAACACACCAAAAAAAAAAAACAAACACCAAAAGTGTAAATGTAATCAACTTGAGATGGTCTAGAGGAAGAGCATAGACCTAGCAAAAGGCTTTAATCACAACAAGGATATGAATGTATCTCAGCAGTAATGATCTGTTGATAGGATTGTAAAGTATTAAAAATAAAATACAAAATAAAGTACTATAGCACTGTCTTCAAATTTTTAAATATGCACACCCTGGGCTTTATCTGACAGAAATGCACAAAGATACGTATCAAAGAAATTTATTGGTGGCAAAATATTTTCTTTGGCAGAAAACTGGAAACAGCCTGAATATTTCCCAACAGGGAAAAGTGTTGACTTAAATTCTGATATAGTTATACCACAAAATTATGTGCAAGTAATAGAATAAGATAGACTAAAAGTACAGATTCCACTCATCTATTTAAGTGAAAAATGCAAGTCACAGAATAATACAGTGGTGATCCCATTTCTACACATAACAGCATACGCACAATGTGTATATAACATATGTGTGTGCACTTATATATGTGTGTGTATAAAATATATTTGCAAGATCACTGGAACAAGTATGCAAGGATACACACCAAATTATTATCTGTAAATTACAACAGAGAGAGAAGCTAAAGGAGATGGGGGTCAGAAAACAATTAATTTTACTTTGGCTATTTCTGAATTACTTGAATTATTACAACATGAATTTTTAAAAATTCAAATGACTGGGGACTTCCCTGGTGGCACAGTGGTTAAGAATCCACCTGCCAATGCAGGGGACACGGGTTCCAGCCCTGGTCTGGGAAGATCCCACATGCCGCAGAGCAACTAAGCCCGTGTGCCACAACTACCGAGCCTGCATGCTGCAACTACTGAAGCCCGTGTGCCTAGAGCCTGTGCTCTGCAACAAGAGAAACCACCGCAATGTGAAGCCCATGCACCACAACAACAGCAATGAAGACTGAACGCAGCCAAAAATAAATAAATAAACAAATAAATACATTTATATAAAAAATTCAAATGACTGAAGTGAGAAAAAGAACTACAGAGTCCGCCTGCCAATGCAGGGGACACGGGTTTGTGCCCTGGTCCGGGAAGATCCCACATGCCGCGGAATGGCTAGGCCCGTGAGCCACGGCCGCTGAGCCTGCGCTCCGCAATGGGAGAGGCCGCAACGGTGAGAGGCCCGCGTACCGCAAAAATAAAAAAAAAAAAAAGAACTACAACAAAAGAAATATATATATAAAATTAAAAATTTTTTACAGAAAGTTGGGTGAATAAAGCTAAGATTTTTTTTTTGCCTTTAGAAGGGTTGACAACACACTCATTTTTATGCCTGCCTTGCCAAGGCTAACCCTGAACCCTATTCCCACTGAATTGCTTCAGTGCTATTCACACACTTAGTTTCTGAAGGTGTTAGCAGTTGGTTTTCAAGTTCTTTCAATTTATGTACTCTTCTCCAGACCTTGTGAGCCGCATGGCAGGCTGGGTGTGAAAACACTGCCCAGAGAAGGGTGGTCCGGAGTAGACAGTGATGTGCTGGAAACACAGGTATATCTTTCTGGAAGGATCAGGGATGGGAGGTAATGAGCTATTATGAAGACTATTATATTAGCCAGAAATTGAGAAAAGGCTCTTTCAAGAACTGCTCATTGGAATGACACAGTTTGCTTTGTTCATTCTTGGGCTAAAGGTATGTGAAGCAGGCAAGAGCTCCTAGTCTTTAAGGTCCCTTAAATTCTGCCCTAGAATGAGAGCAATCCGGAGGCTGGAGAAGGTCACAGGGACAGAGGGTTATAAGATCACTTAGTTTTATTAAAATCTTAATTTTTATGTCCTCATATGCTTTGTTCTCATCATATCAGAGTGTAGTTCTAAGCAGCTGTGAGCATAAGGGTGAATTATAAGAAGATCAGCTGAGAGGGTTTGCTGTGGAACAACCGTATTTAAATTGCAGCATCAATATCACCGGCTCTGGCCTCCAAAGACAAAAACT